AGATTTCTAACGCAGCTAGCCAAAAAAGCAATTCAATGCGTGTAATTTCTGAGTTTACTGAGATGCAGTTTAATGAGACTCTGCATTTCCCAGATCTTTAAAATAGGGGTTGAGAGTGCTGAGCTAGTATGACCCAGAGACCCACAATAGTCACAATAATGGAAAATCCTCTAGGATGCAATAAACCAGAATTACCCTATAAGTTTACAAATGGTGACCAAGATAATGTACACTCTGATAAAAGCACTTCACAAATGAAAAACAATCTTGTCAGTGTTTCCCTGGGCCACGAAAATAACCTTAACAGCTTCCTTTTAAAATTCAGCAGCATACATGATGCTGCAATAACCTGATATCTGTTAACATGTCAGACCTCCACATCTGGCTTTAATTCGTGGAGTCATTTGTTTACCTAATATTAGTTAGTGGTTAAAATTTTAGTTGGCAGTAAACCTTGAAAATAAAATAATAAATAATAAATAATAAAGAGATGATGGAAAAACTGGTGTATGGAGAAAAGAAATCATAATATTCCTGAAATATGTAACTTCAACATCCCCCCAGGTTTCCACTTAAGAGAAAACTGCCAGAAAGATTAAAATGTCAGGCATTATTCCTCAATAACAAAAACACAAACGTCACCGTGACTTTCATCACTCTGTGGTTTTATTGGTGCTCTTCTAATTGCACTGAATCAACGGAAAGTTATTTTCTAAAGACTGCTATTATCTATACATATTCAGCAGAAATGGAACACAATCATTTGCATATTTTGTTTGTTTTGGGGTTTGTTTGTTTTTTCATTTTGCAGTTTCATTTTTGCAGCACTTAAATTACATCATCTATCCATCCTTTATTGCCTATTTAAGAATGTAAAAAGAAAACAATATGCACAGACATCCAAGAAATCCATGAAAACGCTATACAGCTACTGGACAAATCAACATTTAAACATATTACAAGAACATATGACAGTAAATTGTTGACATTTACCTTAAAACTCGTGCAGAGAGTATATAAATGATATGATAAAGTCAATGTGATGCTGGAGGTCCTCAGCTAATAGCTCCTTTAAGGGGAATCGTTTCTGTTTATTCCCAGCTCTATATTTGTTCTTGGATTCTGCTAGAATAGTTCTGCATGTTTGACAGTTTCCCCTTTACTTACCTTAGCATGCCATACTGAGCCTTGGTCTACACACTTAGTGCATCCTGCCTCAAGCAAACTTTTACCTTCTCTATATTTACGCTAACTTCATTCTGATTGGATCGATTCACAATCAGAACGTTTCTGCACTCACAGCCAGAGTATGCGTCTCATTTGATAATGTTAAGGACATTTACTATTGTGTAGATACATTATTTACTTAGTACTTACAAGTGCATATACTTAGTACTTGTAGACAGACTAATCTCACTATTTAAACTTGCCATGTTTTGTATGATCACTATAGCAGCGTATGTATATTAGAAAAAAAGAAAATTTATTATATGATTGAAGTATTAAAGACACAAACATTTGTATTAGGTGGGTTTGGATTTATGTACCTCATCGCCACTATCTACATCAGAATAATACGGAGCTAATAAGAAACAAGGACACTGGTATCATTTAATTTAAAGTTACAGCTCATTTACTTGCGTCCACTTCTCGTTTACATTTCGTTCAGTCACTCTGAAACTTGTACCATGTAATTATATTTTCTTTTTTCCCCGTTTTTGATATTACAGTGTCAAATCTAGTGTGAAATTAACTGCTGTCTCCCATAACAAAAACAGCCTAACAGAGCAGATGCGGGTGTGACAGTAAAGTTTTTGAAGTGACATATTGTTTCTTGATGAAGCTGAAGAGGAGGTCGTGGGTGTTTGGATACTGTCAGTCATCTTTCAACTATAGCAAAAAAATAAAAAAAGGATAATATATTAAATGTGGCAAAAACACATTATGTTAATGGTGATGAACTGATTTTGTGTATGCTTTTTTTAAGAGAAAGGGAAATGAACATGTAAAATCCTCTTAGAAGGCACAACGCAATATGTTCAACTACTCTTACAACATCAAAAACCTCACGATCGAGCACAACAGACTAAGAAGTTACCGTATTAAAGCTTTAAGCACACAAGTTACAACACAAAACTCACTCTCGCCTATTGTTGGGTACCCCATTCAACTGCTCAATAACACAAATGTCTAACCAGCCAATCACATGATCGCAACTCAATCCATTCAGGTAAGATTTCCTGCTGAAGTTCAAACTAGTATCAAAATGTGGAAGACAGATCATTTAAGTGATGGGTTGGGTGTTGGTGCTTAACAGGCTGCTGAGTATTTAATCAACTGTTGATCTGCTGGGATTTTACCACACAATCATGAGTTTACAGAGAATGGTCTGGAAAAAAAATTAAAAATATCCATTGAGTGACTGATCAAAATGCCTGTTTGATGTCAGAGTCAGAGGAGTATGGCCAAACACTTTGAGCTGACAGGACACCACTAGCTACTCAAATAACCACTCATTGCAACTAAGTTATGCAGATGAGCATCCCAAACCTTAAAGGAGATGGGCTACAGCAGCAGAACACCACGCCACATTCCACTACTATCAGCTAAGAACAGAAAACTAAGAGTACAATTCACATTGGCTAAGAAAAAACAAGACTTTAAAAATGTTCCCTGGTCTGATAAGCGTCAATTTCTTTTGCAATATTAGGTTGACTGGGTCAGAATTTAGTGTAAACATCAGCAAAGAGTGGATCCACCCTGCCTTGAATCAACAGCCCAGGCCTATGCTGTTGTAATGTTGGAGGGGATATGTTCTTGGTACACTTTGGGCCCTTTATTACCAACTGAGCATTTTTTAAAGTCTGACAATATACCTGAATATTGTTTTTCACCATGTCCATTAATTTATGATCACACTGTACCATCATCCTCCAAACTGGTTTCTTGAACATTAAAATTAGTTCACTGCACTCAAATGGCCTTCTTGTTCTCAGTTAGAGCTCAATCCAGCACCTTTGAGATGCGGTGAAATGGGAAATTTGCATCATAGATGTGTGATGCTAACACATCAAATATGGAACAAAATCTCAGAGGAATGTTACAAGCCCCTTGTTAAATCTGTGCCACAAAGAAATAAGGCAGTTCTGAAGATTAAAGGGGTCCAACCCAGTATTAGCAAGGTGCAACTAATAAAGTGGCCAGTGAATATGTAACGTCAAAATCAACTTCAATTGCTTCAGTCCTGACAAACACACTCATTCTTGCTTCACAGTTTTAAAGATTTTTGCTTTTTTTTTTGGTCTTAAGTGATATAATGGTTGGATGGATGGATGGATGGATGGATGGATGGACTTTCAGACTTCTTTCCTTGAGCAGTCCATTATCTTCTGATCGATTTAAATGAATCCGTCAAAGTAGCAGGATACAGATAGTACCAACCAGGCCAGTCAGTGTCCTTGTATCACCATGACGTGGCTACATTTCAGGTTACACCGTGGGTTACCATGTCGGTTTCAGAAGGGTCTGTGGTTACACGAAATCTATTATGACACATAGCTATAAATCCCTAGTTGAATCAACAGTGTAGGTATGTCATAATCACAAAGCTTTTTTAAAATCCTACACTGTAACATGACACAAACTTCACTAAAAATTTAACTACACATCGCTTTGATGACATCCATGCAGTTATTATGGCTGGGAGCGGCATTGGCCATTTGCAAAGGCTACATCATAAGCTCTACATGGAATCAACAGAGGTCTAAATTAAGCCCAACAGTGGTCCAGAGACCTGTTCGGCTGTCATGGGGCAAAAGGTCGACCATCCTCACAGCCCTGAATCGGACAAGAAAATGAATGATAGACAGATACTTTGAAAATATCTTTAAGAGTTCAGCAATAACCATTTTAACTAAATATCTGTTGGCTTGACAGGAAAAAAAGCTGCCCATACTATCACTACCTTCACAATTCAAGCCTAAATTATAACTTGGGAAAACAAAACAGTCCAATTAGTTTAGTTTAGTTAGATTCATTAAGCAACATTTTAAAACACTCTTTGCTTCTGAAACTCATAATCCCTAAATTTTCACTGTCAGCTAAGCAAGCTTTAACCTGCTGAGCAGATCTCAGACACTATGTTGTGGTTCCCAAACTTTCTCAGGTATACACCACTTCAGAAGTTGAAAAAATGTTATTTCTCCACACCTTACAGTTTTTTACTAATTCCTTTACATCAAATCAAATCAAATCACTTTTATTGTCACATCACATGTGCAGGTACATTGGTACAGTACATGTGAGTGAAATTCTTGTGTGCGAGAAATTAATTAATCATTTATCTTAATTTCACTGTATATTTTCAGCAGACTGTCCATGCCCTGCAGTTTGAACCACTAAACTATGTGTAGAACTCTGGAAAGCGGTGGTCGATATTTTTCATGATATTCCTACATTTCACGAAGAAGTTATTTAAATCATAAAGACAATACCTGCTACTGTCATCCTTTATTAAGAGAAATCAGTGTGTAGTCCCATTAAAGAAGTTTCAAACGAAGTGAAATCTGCTTCCTGTGAAGGACGTCAGAGATTTGTTAACTTTCCCTCAGCTCACGTGATGTGAACACCTGGACATGTCAGGAAGGATGTTGTGTGCACAGCTGGCTGGCCTGCTGATGCTGCCATTTATTTATTTGCTTGTTTGTTAAATAAACACAAACATGGGTTGAAAACTAAACTCAAACACAGGAATCTGCTTCCATCATATTTGCACAAGGCCCCCCCAAAACACACACAAAAAAGCCCAGCAGACAGGAAGCAGAGGAGGGTTAATTACCTCCGCCGAGCATCACCACTGCCACATGCAGCTGCCCGGATCACGTTTCAGCGCACATCTGCTAAAATGCACACTGGCGGAAAGCCGGCCACGTCTCAGCCTCCTGATGTGCGTTTCTTCCTTTAATGACAGCAGCATATGAGTAAGAGAAACCCCCTCTTACCTTCCACATCCAGGCCATTCTTATTTCCACGCAGACAATGGTGGACCGCCTGTTTTGTTCAGCCCCTAAACGCGCTCAGCACCTCCGTCTGCAAGCACGTTTCCTCACGTGCTCATCACAGGAGCAGATGCGGGTGCAGTGCGGTGGTATGCGGGGATCGGCTCCATAAATGTTGGAGTGTACCGTTATTCGTCTCCTCTCTCTGTTTTTTTTTTCCTCCCATGGAGCTGCTGGGACCTGCAACGACGCTGCGTTGCTACTGGCCGGCTGAGACGCGTAGCCCCGCCCCGTGTGCGGCACGTGACCGCCGCTGACGCCCTGGCGTTTTACAACATCAGGAACATGAGGACGAGGGAAACAATAATAACAGAGGGTGCTGTGTGTTGAGTGTAGGCAGAGACGGACTTTAAGGTTATGCAGTACCGCGCAAAAGTACCGCCCCTCATTTCTTCATAATTTGCTTCCAAAGAGCCAGACTCGTTTTTCAAATTTGTCTTGGATTTTTCCAGACATTCCGATGGTCTTCCAAAGTTTTTTTTCTTTTTTTTTTGGAACATGGGCTGTTTTTTTCACTCATTTTTAGTCCAGTCCATCTGATCCTTTTCAGAGGACTGTTTCTTGGTTTTTTTGCGGTTTTTGTTTTTTAATTAAGCCGCTTAGTGAAAGAATCCATTTCAAATTGCATTTCTACCTCAGTATGGTGTACAGTGTGTACACGTGGGGGATAAAAGAAGAAGTGACAGGCTTAAAAAATTATCTACTGCAGATAAACAGTATTTGATTGTCATGTCCTTGAGGAGAAAAGGTAAAGACCTGACACAGGACCAGAGAAATGTATCTGGCCCTCCTGTTGACATATAGTGTCCATTGGAGCCTCATCAGAAATGGTCTCAGTGGGAGAGTGGCAGTGGCATCGGGTCTCATGGAGTTTTTAGTTCACATTATTGTTAAAGTACACAGAGGATGTCAGGAGGTGGATCAGTGTATACAGCCATTTGTAAAACAAAGGGAAGGCTCTGTCATGGGTGTGGCTGCGTTTCAGCCAATAGTTTTGGAGATCTTGTCAAAATTGATGGAATTCTGAAAGTAGAAGAGCATCGTTAGATTTTCATCCAATCTGAAAGTCTTCTGATTGACAATGTTTTGGTTTTTCAACATGACAATGAAACACCGAGACACACTGCCAATAAAAGTAAAGCTGGATAGAAAAACACTAAATGAAACTTCATTAGTCATGGATTGGCTTCCTAGGAGCCCAGATCTCAAAATTATTGAAGCAGTGTGAGATCATTTTGATGGAGAACATAACAGAAAGTAGCCAGTATCCAAAGAAGAGCTTTGAATGTCCTTCAAGAAGCCCGGAAAACTCAAGACTTTTAAACAGTGCTGTGTTTTAACAATGTTACTGCCATAGGTATAGTGTGAATCTAACTATATGTCACTTACTGTTGCCTGAAATTTGCTCAAATAAGTGTTCTGGATGGCGTACACTGTTTAAGACATGAGTGCTTTTCCAACCAGAGAGGAGTTGTTTTTGTTTTTATTTAATGTCCCTTTCTTGCAACATCTCATTTAACTGTTTGAAACATAATGCAGTGAGGCTCCCAGGTAGTCTGGCATTATTATTATGATTATTATTATCATATTAGAGTCAAATGGTAAATGGCCTTTATTTGTATAGCGCTTTACTCGTCCCTAAGGACCCCAAAGCGCTTTACATATCCAGTCATCCACCCATTCACACACTGGTGATGGCAAACTACAGTGTAGTCACAGCCACCCTGGGGCACACTGACAGAGGCCAGACACTGGCACCACCTCTGACCACCACCACCAGGTGAAGTGTCTTGCCCAAGGACACAACGACCAAGACTGTCCAAGCCGGGGCTCAAACCGGCAACCTTCCAATTACAAGGCGAACTCCCAACTCTTGAGCCACGATCGCCCTCAAGACAAATAAAGGCATTTTTTAGTCTTCTTTTGAAGACTGAGAGCCAAACGTGACAGCTTAAAATGTTATATCAGGTTAAGCTAATATCAAGCTTAACCTGATATAACTATGCAGTCAATGAAAAATCCATTTATTTAAATTTACTGCTGGACTTAATAGATCAGATATTTTTCAGCAAGATTTCTGCTCATGTTCAGAACTGTCTGCACAATTACACTTTCACACATGTTTGATCTGTGTTTTGGGATGCTTTTTACCTCAGCTACATCACTGAAGCTAACCAAAATGAGAAGGAAAGGGAACATTATGCAAAGCGTTTATAAGTAACTTTTCTATGAAACATTTACTACTTTCATGAACTTGGTGGTATGATGTGGTCCTGAATTATATCTAATCTACAGAAAAAAGTGCTGTCAGTCATATTCACTGATTTTTCATTTTTTCCTCATCTCTTTCTCTGGTTTCCTCTTCTGAATTCATACAAGTCAAAGTATAGGTGTAGGAACCAAGAGAACAAGTAATCATTACTGTACAAAATCAGAGTAAAATACATATAGACAACTATTTATATTCTGTGTGTTATTAACAGAATGCCAATCTTCATCTTTATTTTTTTAACAAAAGAGTTATCTGATACCAATACTGTGTGTTGTTTACCTTTGAGGCACACTGATCTGATCAGACACTATACTCCAGTAGTCCTTGAAATTCAAAAAGTTCTAAACTGGTAAATTGTAAAAATCAACATGTGATTTTACCAGTGCCGAGACGAACAAAGTTAAAATTGAATCATAAGTCAGGCAGAAAGAGGCAGAATGATAACACAGTGCACCGCTGAGAGAATTTGGAACTGGAAAAATCTAATCTGGGATTTTAATGTGAGGATTTATCTTCCTTTTTTTATTTAGCTTGCTCTGTGAACCCAAAGCACAGCTGTTACCTTTGAACTGGCAATACAGGTCAAATGTGCTCGAGGGCCTACAGCTGGACTGCAGCTGATGGGCCCTGGAGCTGAGGGTGGCCCAGTTTAAACTAAAATAATGACAAAGTCAATGTTAATTCAATTCCATTCATATCATTTTGGTTCAGTTTTACTAATATAAATTCACAGTCACAGCCATCTAAAGATACTTTATATTGTAAAGACCCTACAGTATTAGAAAGATGTTTAAATTCCATTTGTTTCATTAACGGTGGATCTTAGAAGGTTAACCAAAGCGATGGGTAACTGGGCATGCTTTCAATCATTTAAGGATCTCACATGTGTTAATTCACTTGTGGTTTGCTTTCCATATCACAATGGTCTAAGAAGCGTGTGGATGTCAGTGCACAGTGAGGTACATTTTTCTTCTGCCACTCTTTTGTTACCTTGGTTTTGGGTCATTCTTATGCTTGAAGACCCATCTGTGAGTCATCTTCAGTGTTCTGGCTGAGAGAAGGAGGCTCTTGTTCAGGATTTTGAACCCTTAATAGAAAAACAGCTGCAAAGCATGTTTCCTCCTCCGTGCTTAAGTGTGGGGGTGGTGTGATTTTGGTTTCATCTGACCACAGCAGTCTCTGGCAAATTTAAGATCATCCTGTACATGTTCCTTCTTGAGCAGAGGGACCTTGTGGACCCTGCATTGTGTGTTACCTCCCAGTTTGGGGCTGATCCGCCACCTTTCTCATGATCATTCTAACCCCATGAGGCAAGAACTTGCATGGAGCTCCAGACTGAGGGCAATTGGTGGTCATTTTTATTTGTTTCATTTCCAAATAATCACACCAATATTTGTCATTTTCTCACCAAGCTTCTTGCTGGTGGTCTTGTAGTCCATTCCACCCTTGTGCAGGTCAACGGTCTGCTTCTTGATGTCCTTTGACAGCTCTTTGGTCTTTCCCATGATGGTGGAGGGGGAAAAATCATTGTGAGGACGTGTGCTTTATACACAAAATAAGCTGCAATCAGTAAGAGTATCTGTAATTGACTAACTGTATGACACACAGCCAATCTGGGAATTCTGGTTGAGTTATTTCACTCAATGACATGCAAAGCGACATATCTTTTATGTAATGTATTTTTTTGTGGATTTTTGGTTAATATTCTTTCTCTCTCTCTGCTATAATGAAACTATTATAACAATTAGAGACTGTTCAATACAAATTCAACAGGGGATTCCCCCACTGTCCACACAGAGTCCTCGCTCTTTACATTCAAATAATTATTTCCCTCACTGTACGTACAACTGCTTAAAAATTGAAACAGACCCCATAGACTCCCATTAAAAAAAAAAAAAAAAAAAAAAAAAAAAAAAAAGCTTTACCACCCCACCACCCCTTTCAACACAGCAGCACAGTGTTTATCTTTTTTCTATTTTTAAACCCATTTAGGAGTCACCACAGCAGATTATCTCCTTCCTTCCCTATCCCTAGCATCTTCTGTCACACAAATCCTCTGCATCCATAAACTTTCTCTGGGTCTTCCTCTTCCCCTCCTGTCTGGCAGCTCCAACTTCATTACACCCGCCATCCCTCCTCTGCACATGTCCAAAACATCTCCGCCTTTCCTCTCTAACTTCTCCAAACGCTCAGTCTGAGCTGTCCCCCTCATGTACTCATTTCCACTCCTATCCATCCTGTAAACTTTCTTTTATAGTTAATAAATTACACATTTAAATTGCATTAGAGGTTCATTCATGAGCACAATTACTCAGTGAGAGGGTTTGTACCGTTTGATCTCATTTAGTGTTCAGTTGTACCGAGACACACAGGTGCACCTTGCTAACCAAGCCAGCTAGCCAGTGCTGATACTTTCCTGGGTCTGCCTTGTCATCCAAATAAAGTCACATAAATTTTTAAAGCAAAGAAAAATGGCAAAAGTCATGCTGGCAATAAGTTTTCAAGCAGCAGAATACAAGCCGACGACACAGCAGCATAAAAATAGATATACTTCTGGGGTGTTCATGTGTGCCCACATGCACATTCATACTGCTCGAGTATAATCCTAACTTTTCCATATTAAGCCAATCAGTGACAAACTATATAAAAATTAAAAAAAACTATAACATTTGAACCCCTAATGAACTTGTTGACAGATGGCATTTATCAACAGATATTTTATATTGGTGGTTTTTCTTCTACTAATACATAATCAGATGTACTTAAATGTAGTAGAATTTTTTTGCATTTGTATATTTTCAGTACAAATTCCTGATTATACTTGTGTGCCTTTACTCAAATAACATTAAAACACAGTAAAAGTACTGCCACCATAGAGTTAAGGGTTCAATTTACATAGAGGGCAGGTTGGTAACAGTTGGGAAGGTAAAAAGTTAAGGCTATATTTATTTATTTCACGACATGACATTTATAGATG